GATTGGGTAAATAAAATATAATAAGGATTTCATTAATGAATTCTCAGAACTGTTAGCTGAACTGTTGCCAAAATTTGACAGTTTGCTTTTATGTGGTGATTTTAACGTTCATGTTTGCTGTCCCTGTAACCAACTTTCTGCTGACTTTCAAAGCCTTCTGGATTCTTTTAACCTGTCACAGTCTGTGTCAGGGTCCACACACAGTCATGGTCATACTTTGGACTTAATCATCTCTCACGGCCTTCGTGTATCTGTTATAGAAATTTTGGACACTTGTATTTCAGACCACTTTCCTATTATATTTGAATTTTCCACTCCTCCCCCGGTAAAGACTATGCTTCCAGCATGTCGCTGCCGCTTCATCACTCCCTCCACTCACTCCAGGTCAGTTTGCTGCTGCATTTAGAAGCACTGACTTATACCTCGCTGAAAGCCTGGACTCATCTCTACATCCAGAAGAATTTATCACCTCCTTTCAGTACACTTCTACAAAGATCTTGGACTCCATCGCTCCTTTAAGACAGACTTATACAAAAATCAAGCCAGATCCCTGGCTTAATGGTACCACTCGGACTTTTAGACAACGCTGCAGGAAAGCAGAACGCAGATGGAAGAAAGACAGGCTTCATGTGTCCCAGGACATACTGAGAGACTGTCTTCATGAATATCAAAAAGCTGTTAAGCAGGCCAAATCCCAATATCTTTCTAATTTAATTTCTACCAGTTGTAACCGGCCAAGAGTTTTATTTAATACCATTCAGTCTGTCATTAATCCCTCCATCAATGTTCTGAAAACTGCTACACAGTCTACCTGTGATGGTTTTCTTGATTGCTTTGTGAACAAAATAGACTCTATCAAGCAGAACATTGTCAGTACATATAATGCTGTTCTGTTATGTGCTCCCTCAATAACCTCTGCTGTGTTTGATCAGTTCGACCTGGTCTCACTACCTCACCTCGTTAAGGTGGTTCAAGAGATGAAACCTACAAACTGTTCCCTGGACATCATTCCCTCTAAGATGTTCAAGCAGTCCTTGGATGTTATTGGCCCTTGTCTTCTGACATTTATTAATAGCTGTCTAAGTTCAGGTTATGTCCCGTCTGTTTTCAAACATGCTGTGGTCAGGCCTCTTCTTAAAAAACCGGGTTTAGATCCTACAGCTTTTTCTAATTTTAGGCCAATTTCACACTTGTCATTTTTATCCAAAGTTCTGGAAAAGGTTGTTTTCATTCAGTTGCAATCTTTTTTAGAACACAACAACTTGTTTGAAAAATTTCAATCTGGCTTCAGACACCGTCATAGCACTGAATCTGCACTACTCAAAGTACAGAATGATATTCTTTTGTCCCTTGATGCCAAAAAACCTGTTCTGCTGGTGATGTTGGACCTCTCAGCAGCTTTTGATACTGTAGACCATCAGGTCCTAATCACTCGTTTGGCTCAGCAGGTTGGCCTTCAGGGTGTTGTGCTCGAGTGGTTTAAGTCCTTTTTAACAGACAGAACTTTCTCTGTTATGATAGGTGATCTGTCCTCTTCTTCAGTCTCTTTTTGACCTCTGGCAGGGATCCATTCTGGGGCCTGTTCTCTTCTCACTTTACATGCTACCATTAGGACCCATCATTGCACGCCATAATCTGTCTTTTCATCTGTATGCAGATGATCTACAAATCTATCTGCCGGTCACTCCCAGTTCCTCACTCAGTTTCAACTCTATTGCCAGCTGCTTAAACGACATTAAGCACTGGCTGTCTCAGAATTTTCTCCACCTCAATAACGATAAAACTGAATGGATTTTATTTGGTGCTTCCAGTAATTCATGCAACATCTCTCCCAGTCTAGGTTTTCCGCTCCCCCATGCCAACCAGGTGGTAAAAAATCAAGGAGTGGAGCTTGACTTTAACTTAAAGCTAGATAAACAGATCAGTTCTGTTGTGAAAACCAGCTTCTTTCAGCTCCGTCTGCTTTCCAAAGTAAAATCACTCCTTAGCCGCAGTAATCTGGAGAAGGCCATCCATGCCTTTGTGAGCTCTAGGCTTGATTACTGTAACGCCTTATATGTGGGTATTAATCAATCTTCTATCTCCCGTTTACAGCTTGTACAAAACTCTGCTGCTCGCTTGTTGACTAACACACGTAAATATGAACACATCACTCCTGTCCTTTCTTCTTTACACTGGCTCCCGGTTCAGTTTAGGATACAGTTCAAGCTGCTACTGTTTGTTTTTAAAGCTTTGAATGGCCTTGCACCACCTTATATTTCAGAACTTTTGAAAGTCCACCAGCCCAGCAGAGCTTTACGGTCTGCTGGTCAAAATCTGCTGGTGGTACCACGCTCAAGGTGCAAACAATGGGGGGACCGGTCCTTTTCTGTTGCAGGCCCAACAGCCTGAATACTCTTCCCTATGAGCTGCGTGCCATCTCTGATCTGGTTCTGTTCAAAGCCAAACTGAAAACCTACTTATTTAAAAGGGCTTTTAATGTTTAACTTTTAGTAGTTTAGTATTTAGTATTTATTTATTTATTTTATCTCTTTTACCTTCTTTTATTCTCGCTGTGTTTTTAATTTGCACTGATTTATTGTGTCCTGTTTTTAATCTTGTCAGAGTCAGAGTCAGAGTTTCTTTATTGTCATTCGCACCTCATGGGGTACATGTGCTGGAGCGAAATTATGTACACAAGGTCCCAGTTACATCCAACAATAAAATGTATAAGAAAAACAGTAATAACATCTAAGATATGAACTAAGAAAAACATCAACTAAATATACACTAAGCACTCATAACATAAAACATTGAACATCAGCACAAACATGAACATGAGTCTGTGAGCAGATGTGCACGCATGAACACATCAACATTGAAACAGATCAGCAGCAACATGAAACAGATCAGCAGCAACATATGGTTTTTCACAGTGATCATTCTAGTTAGAGATTCATGAGTCCAACAGCCTCAGGGTAGAAGCTGTTCCTCAGTCTAGTAGTTCTACACTTAATGCTCCTTAACCTCCTTCCTGAGGGGAGTGGGGCAAAAAGTGTGTGTGCTGGGTGAGCGGGGTCCTTCATGATGCAGGTGGCCCTCTTCCTGCATCTGGAGGTGTAGATGTCTGTGATGGTGGGGAGGCTGATTCCGACAGATTTCTGTGCAGCCTTTACCACTCTCTGCAAAGCTTTCCTTTCTGCAGCTGTGCAGCCTCCATGCCACACATTGATGCTCGAGCACAGGATGCTCTCCACTGCACACCTGTAGAAGGAGGTGAGGACTGAGCTTCCCAGACCAGCTCGCCTCAGCCGTCTGAGGAAGTAGAGTCTCTGGTGAGCTTTCTTGATCAGGCTGGTGGTGTTGTTGCTCCAGCTGAGGTTGTCATTCATGTGTACACCCAAGTACTTGTAGCTGGAGACCACTTCCACCGCAGATCCTCTTATGTTCAGGGGGGTGTAGATGTTTTTGTTCCTTCTGAAGTCCACAATCATCTCCTTTGTCTTCTTCACATTGATGTGAAGGTTATTCTCTTTGCACCAGCTCTCCAGGTGTTCCACCTCTTGCCTGTAGCTGGACTCATCATTGTTTGTGATGCATCCCACCACCGCTGTATCATCTGCAAACTTTACAATGTGACAGCCTGGATGGGTAGCTGCACAATCATACGTGAGCAGAGTAAACAGGAGGGGACTCAACACACATCCCTGAGGAGAGCCAGTGCTGAGGGTTATGGTGGAGGAGGAGAGGTTGTGGATCCTCACTAACTGTGGTCTGTTTGTTAAAAAGTCTAGTACCCAGTTGCAGATGGAGGGGCTTAGTCCTAGTGTGGATAGTTTGTCCATCAGGGTTTGGGGGATCATGGTGTTGAAGGCGGATGTGAAGTCCACAAAGAGCATACGGACGTAAGAGTTTTTCTGCTCCAGGTGGTTGAGCGCAGTGTGGACCACAGAGGAGATTGCATCCTCTGTTGATCGGTTCTCACGGTATGCATACTGATGAGGGTCCTCGTTGATGTTGATGGTTGTTTTGATGCGAGTCATGACCAGTTTTTCGAAGCATTTAGCGACTATCGGGGTGAGGGCCACTGACCGATAGTCATTCAGACCAGTCACTGTAGAGCTTTTTGGGACTGGGATGATGGTGGCAGTCTTCAGGCAGGTGGGAACTGTCTCCAGGGTAAGTGAGGTGTTAAAGATGTCTGCCAGCACCTCACAGAGCTGATCAGCACATTCTTTCAACACTTTTCCAGGGATGTTGTCTGGGCCAGTTGCTTTGTGTGGATTAATCCTCCTGAAGGTACTCCTTACTTCTGCTGAGGTCTTGTTTTGTCTTGTGAAGCACCTTGGTCAATGCAAGGTGTTGTTGGAAGGTGCTATAGAAATAAAGTTTATTATTATTATTATTATTATTATTATTATTATTATTATTAAATGAGGACACAGACTGTAGTGTAAAGCGCTTTGAGTATCTTGAAATAAGATAGAAAGGCGCTATATAAGTACAGTCCATTTACCATTTACCATTTATATCTGGATTATTGAGCATGGACATTGGTGTAAAACAAATTGAGTTTTTTTGAAGCTTTAATGTCATCAAGACATTTTAACAGATGGCAAACAGAACAAGAACTATTAGGTTTTAAGGGCAAATAAATCTGATAATCATCAGCATAGCAGTGAAAGACCACATTTTCTCAGATTAGACCCCTATAGGAGCAGATACAGTGAAAACAGAAGGGGTCCAGGAATCTAATCCTGCAGAACTCCGCAGGAAACATGGTTCCCCAATTTCAAATTTTCCATCTTTAGGTTTCCTGGGCTTATTATTATTATTACTCTATGTGGCCCTGTGATGGACTTGCAACCCGTCCAGGGTGTCCCCCGCCCCTCGCACAGTGATTGGTGGACATGGGCACCGGCGACTCCCATGACCCAAAATGAAAGAGGCGGGTAAAAGATAATGGATGGATTATTATTATTATTATTATTATTCCTATTATGCCTTCTTTCTGTTCTTAGGATGCTCCTTGCCTCTGGGGATGGAAAGTGGACTGATTGAAGACCATCACATCACTGCCAGCTCCACAGCTTCTAGCTGGTTGTCACCCTGGAAACCTTCACTTGCTCGTCTAAACAAACAGGGCACCATTAATGCATGGAAAGCAAAGGTAAAAATCACAAGTATATTTAATTTACAATGTGCATCAGGTAGAAATGCACATTGTCAGAGATTTTGTGTGATACAAGCTGACACAGTTTGCTGGTAATAACCCTTGAAAATGTGGGTGATAATGTGTCTCTATGTCCTGTTTTATTTAGAATAGTGATATGAACCAGTGGCTTCAGGTGGAGCTGCCCGAGATCAAGAAGATCACAGGCATTGTAACGCAGGGTGCCAAGTCTTTTGGGAAAGAGATGTACGTCATGTTTTACAGTCTGCAGTACAGTGACAATGGAATACACTGGACCCCCTACTCAGAAGAAGATGAGCCTGTGAAGGTAAGCTGAAGCAAAATCACTTGGAAAAAATAAATCCCTGAGGGGAATGCAGATACTCCAATGCCATGCATGCTAGAGTTTCAAACTAAAATCATCTCTTGCTGATAAGAATTAGAGTCATAGCCATTTTGGTCAAACCTTGTGAATGAGGTTATGCATCAATTTATGTGAGATCTCCCCACATGATCTCACATGTATGTATATGTCTCAAAGTATGTGTTGTGAATGAATCAGCTACAACCACAACAAATCTGAGTTCAACATCTGTAAAAGTGACTGACTTACAACCATTTTTTGTGTTTTAGGGTCACTTAAATGACAGTCAAATACACTTAAATGGAGCAGTCATCTTGAATGGGTTTCACTTCAAAAGTTAATAATTTGTAGATGTAAAATATAGTGATACATTTCTGAGTTTTATTAAAATAAGTCCAATGATTCCTCAGATTATTTGTCAACAAACAGACAAACAAATGTACTTGTACTCACACAGATAAAGGCTATAAACATCATTTAACAGCATGCGACAATAATTCTGTTTTTCAATCATGCTTTCCTAACTCCTTTTTCCCTCTCTATTCATTTGCAGGTGTTTTCTGGGAACACAAACAACAGCGATCCTGTGAAGAATTACATCTATCCTCCCATTTTCTCTCGTTTCATTCGAATCATTCCACAAGAATGGATGAACTCCATCACTATGAGGGTGGAGCTACTAGGCTGTGACTTTGAGTGACTAATATTAATGTTTTTTATGAAAAGAAATCTGCACCGCTATGCACACAAATGTTAAGTCGCATTAGCAGAACTCAGCTTGCAGAAATTAATCATCATATAGAGAAGTGGTAAAGTTGATAGAAAACTTTTGCTGAAGAAAAAAACCCACAAAATGGCTAAAATAATTTGAAACTGATAAAAGTAATTAAAAAAACTATTTAAAAAAAATCAACTAATGAAAATTAGACTTTGCTTTGAAGTTTTGGTTTAACAGTGTGGCTGTGTGGTTAGAACAGTCATCCTCCAATGCAAGAATTGGAGGTTCAATTCCACCAGCAGTCACATGCTGAAGTGTTCCTGGGCAAGACACTGAACCCCTCATCGCCTCCGATGTGTGTCCCATCGGTGTATGAATGTGATGAAGCTCTGATTAGTCTCTTTAGAATGATTTGTTCAATTAGCTTTGTAGAGATCTAGTAGAGTTCTGTATGAATGGGTAAATGAGGCACAGATTGTAAAGTGCTTTGAGTATCTTGATAAGATAGAAAGGCGCTATACAAGTACAGTCCATTTACATATATAAATAAATAAACACGCACACATATATATATATATATATACTGATTATATATATATATTATTTTTATATTGCATAGATATATATATATATATATATATATATCAAGGTCAAGGTTTTCTTTATTGTCATTCACATCATATGTGGTACATGTGGTGGAACGAAACGGTCCCAGTTACATCCAACAAAAGTATAAATTGTAAAGAAAAACAGTAATAAGATCTAAGATATGAATTAAGAAATACACTAAACTAAAAATACACTAAGCACTAGTAGTACAAAAACAATACGCCGAACAACAACAGCACAAACATGAGTCTATGTGAGCAGATGAGTACGAATGAACACAGCAGGATGAAACAAATCAGCAACATGCGATCAGCAGCAGCACATATCGACAAGCAAGTGGCATTACAGTGATTTTTTTTTTCACAGTGATAATCCTGGTTAGGGATTCATGAGTCTAACAGCTTCAGGGTAGAAGCTGTTCCTCAGTCTAGTGCAGGACTATTTAACTGGTGGCCCGCGGACCGGAACTTCAATCTGGCCCACTTCGTTCTGTGTTTGGGTTTTGGGTTCTGTTCATTGCATTTATGATTCAATGCAATAAAATAAACAAAGTTAAAAGGTAACAGATAATTGTAAAACTTGGTTTATTTACATAATGACTTTAATTGCTGTCTGTCTGACCCCCAAGCTGTTGGCTTTCAGAAACTGTGACCTCCTGAGCAATTTTGTTGAATTGCCCTGTTCTAGTGGTTCTACACTTAATACTCCTCAACCTCCTTCCTGAGGGGAGTGGGGCAAAAAAAATGTATGTGCTGGGTGAGTGGGGTCCTTCATGATGCAGGTGGCCCTCTTCCTGCATCTAGAATGTATAAATGTCTGTGATGGTGGGGAAGCTGACTCCAACAGACTTTTGTGCAGCCTTCACCACTCATGTATCAAATATGAAACCAAAACTTTTTGCCAGAGCAATAAGGTTTTAGGTTATTTTAGGGGGGTAAAAAACAAACTTCAAACCAAAAACAGATATCATCATCAACTTTATTTATAAAGCGCTTTAACATCAGCCACAGCTGAAACAAAGCGCTAAACATCAGTAATAAATAAGATAAAAGAAAGCATAAAAATAAAGTGATAAAGCTAAGCACACAATGAATTAAAAACTCAATCCAAACTACAATAAAACAACGAGTTAAACAAATAAAATACATACAAATAAAAATGAAGTAAAATCACATCTCAGATGGGTTGAAGACCAGTGAGTAGAGATACGTTTTCAGATGGGTTTTAAAAATGGACAGTGAAGGGGCCGGTCACATGTGCAAAGGCAGAGCGTTCCATAACTTAGGGCCACTAACAGAGAAGGCCCTGTCGACTCGAAGCTTGTGCAACAAAACATGTACCACCAATGAAGTGTACCATCCTTTTTATTGAGGCAGGCTTCGTTTGTTTGTTTTACACTTCTGTTGAACCAAAAGTCAAAAGCAATGCCCTTTTTTTGTTACTTTTTAGTATATACTCTATATTGTGTATTGTTGTTGTTTTTGTGAGTTTCCAGTTATTTTATTGATCTTTGTAGTTTTTTCTTTAAGGTTACAAAGAAAATGATTCCTGTTTCTTTGTCTTCTTGTTGCTGAGACATTTAAAAAATGTTTTGAAGACAACTATAGTTCATGTGACAATGTACAACAACAATAAACTAAATGTAGAATTTTAATACTGTGGTTCAGTCAAATCTAATAGTTCTGCAAACAGAACTATGCTCCATCAGAATATCCTTGATGTTTCTACAGAACAGCAGCTACGTTGATGAACTTTGTCAAAGAGGACTGCTTAAAGGATGACAAAAGGAGAAGTTTATCACATGATCAGTTTTCTAGACATGATTTTTGCAAGACACTGGAAGGTAAATTTGACAAAATGGATTTCTATAATACACAAAACAAAATACGTGATGTCTCTTCGAAGAAGTAAAATCATGAGGCAAAGCAAATCTGGCACTTATAAAAAGAGAAAATCCAATAATAAACTTAAAATGAATCCATCTATCCATTATCTTTACCCACTTCTTCCTTTTCGGATTGTGGGAGTCACTGGTTCCCATATCCAGCAGTCACTGTGTGAGAGGCGGGGGACACACCCTGGACAGGTCTCCACTGCATCACAGGGACACATAGAGACAAATGAGACAAACAACCATTCACTCACACCTAGGGACAATTTAGAGTCACCAATCAGTCTAACATGCATGTTTTTGCTCTGTGGGCAGCGGCGCCAGATTCATTTTTGAGGTGGGGCCGTGGGGGTCTTTTGTCACCTTACACTTTCTGTTCATATGCACCTTGAATTAGGGCCAGATTAGCAACCACGGGGGCCCCTGGGCACTGAAGCTCACAGGGGCCCCCTCTCTAGCCCAACACCAATTATATACACATATATATATATATAAATATATACATATACATATATACCTATGTGTTCACTGCCCCATTGCGACCGTTAGTGTGAGTTGCTTCACCATCCTCCCTCACAGTGCTGTACAGATGAGGGGAGTCAGAGTGCCTGCTCTGTTGCGGCAAAAAAATAAATAAATAAAATTCCGCAGGCAGCAGAGGGCCCCTGTGCCATGGGCCCCTGTGCACGTGCCCAGGTTGTCCGTATGGTAGATCTGGGCTTGCCTTGAATGTCAGGCAAACATGTTCAATTTTGCCACACAGTAATGTAAATGGAACCTTTCACAGTCATCAGATTTGGAAAAGTTTGCAACATAGGTCTTTCTTTTGAAAATGAAAATATATAAATGTAAATATATGCAGTCGTGAATAAGGTGTTCTTTTTTCACAGAGCGGTGTAGATATAGATATTTCTCTGCTCATCAGTAGTAAAGTGTGTTATTAGTGACATGAATAGCATCTCTTGTTTGTCCCCCTCTCATCATCACTGTTCACAGATTTCAACCATCGCATAACCTCAATTAATTCACCTTGCAAATTTACAACTAAGATAAATGTTGATTTAATTACCCAAACAAAGATAAAAAAAACAAAAATAGACAATTTTTGAATTTAATAGACAAAAGTTTAATTATGCGTCACGCTCTTACCTGTATCAAATCACCGTCAAGCAACAATTAAATAATGAAAAGTTTTCACCTGATTTTTTAATTCAAGTCATTTATTAGGAATGATGATCATTAAAACTAACTGCTTTGTTGGTTTTTTTACTTTTTTTTTTTTTGCACTAACTACAGTTGTCTTAAAAAAAAAAAAGAAGAAGTAGAAAAGAAAAAGGCAGAAGTTTATTGGGGGAAATGGTTTCGTGCACAATGGATGTGGAGAGATTATGTGACGGCCGGTTCTGAGTGACATGCATTCAGATATCAGAACAGACCTGCTGCCACAAGTCCTGAATGATTATTTTTTTATTCTGTTATTTCAGAGATGAGAAGGTAAGTTCTATTCTCCTCCTCTTGCTACATTTTCTCCAAAGCGACTTGCCATCGCAGTGCAGTGTCAACTCCAGCTGGCGTTTGGACGAACAAAAGTGACAAACTATCTGCGCAATCATTTGTGCTCTGACGACAAATGTTAATTTGCTCTGGGTCAAATATAGGTGAGCATTTGGCCCCGACTCGTAAACTGACTTGGGCCCGGGGTCTCTTGTTTTCCAATGGCCTGTATAACCAGTGTGGATCTAGTAGGACAGAGTCAGGTAGCCCACAGGTGATATAAACACTGCATTTCAGCCAGATGTGGCACAAATACATTATTCTTATTTCATTTTTAGGCTGATTTGGTCCAGACCAGGACCGGATCAGAGCCAAAGCATTTTTTGCAGGTGTCAGGCAGGCTCATGATCCCAGCCCGACCCGGAGCTGACGCATGTGCGTAAACCCTCTGGTGACGGTTATGAGAATACGGTGATTTGTAAATGAATTTGGCCCAGATCTGGATAGGTTTGGCCTCTATCTGTATGTACACACACATGCACGCACACACACACACACACACACAGGGTGTAGCCTATCTAAATGTCTGAGACTAGCTGATGGGCAGGGCTGTAAAGTTTGTGTGTGTGTGTGTGTGTGTGGGGGGGGGGGGGGGGGGGCCTAATGGCCCCCTTGCCCCCCTGTTCTGGCACCACTGTCTGTGGGAGGAAACCGGAGTATCCGAAGAAAATGCACACATGCACGGAGAGAACACGCAAACTCCACCCACAAAGGCCCCCGAACCAGGATTTGAATCGGGGTGACCTGCTCGCTGAGAGGCAGCAGCTCTACCAACTGCGCCACCGTGCTGCCTCTAAAATAAATAACCCTAAAAATTAATATTTGTGTTTTTTAATGTGATAAGAACAAAAGTCTTTAGAATGAAGCCAAAACTCTTTATCTTTGCTTAGTCGTCTGTATTGTGAAGAATTTTGTCATTAACCATTAGGTTGATGATCATTTAGATGGTTATCTCCTTCACAACTACTAGAT